CCCAGGCCGGAAGGGACCTCCAAAGGCCATCTAGTCCGACCCCCCCGCAGTCAGCAGGGACACCCCCAACTAGACCAGGTTGACCAGGGCCTCGTCGAGCCTCACCTTGAATATCTCCAGGGAAGGGGCCTCAACCACCTCCCTGGGCAACCTGTTCCAGTGCTCCACCACCCTCACAGTGAAGAACCCTCTCCTCATCTCCAGTCTAAATCTGTTCCCCTCCAGCTTGAAGCCATTGCCCCTTGTCCTGTCACTGCAGGCCTTTCTAAACAATGCTAGAGATCTGCATGGGAGAGACAAAAAGAGAGATGCTGCACTCCATTGGCAGTTTTCACCCATCTCCCAGTCTACCACTGTTCCTCTGGATGGTTTATACTGGAGGAGAAAGATGAGTGAAAGGCATGGCATTGCCCACAGTCAGTCTGGTTTCCAGCACCACCCTACCTCAGGTCTTTCACAGCCCAACTGCCTCTCCCATCCCTTCCACAGAACAGCTCCCACATTAGCACGCCATAATTTAAATTGAAAGAGGGGAGATTAAGATCACAGAATCACAGAATCATCTAGGCTGCAAGAGAGTCCAACCATCTACCCTACTCTAAAGTTCTCCCCTACACCGTATCCCCCAACACCACATCTAAATGGTTCTTAAACACAGCCAGGGATGGTGACTCAACCACCTCCCTGGGCAGCCTATTTGAATGCCCGACCACTAATAAGATCAGATATTAGGAAGAACTTCTTTAGTGTGAGTGTGATGAGGCACTGGAACAGGTTGCCCAGAGAAGCTGTGGCTGCCCCATCCCTGGAGGGGTTCAAGGCCAGGCTGGATGGGGCTTGGAGCAACCTGGTCTGGTGGGAGGTGTCCCTGCCCATGGCAGGGGGTTGGAACTGGATGATTTTCAGGATCCCTTCCAACCCAAACCATTCTATGATTCTTTGAAAAAGATGAGGAACCCGAGACCCAGAGAGGAACACTTGAAGCTGCACCGAAACCCCCTTTGAAGATAGTACCAGAAACCAGATTTCTGGTGGGGGGAAGGAACAAACTGGAGTGGAATTTGCTAACATTTACTTTCAAATACTGCTTCAAAAAGCTCCACAGGGAATTAATCTCAGTGACCCTGCTGCAAAGCACATAAATAAGTGGTGCCTCTTTTTCAGATAAACAGCAGAGGTTAAGTGACCAGAGGGAGGAGGACATGGGGATCCTGCCATCAACCGGGTCCAGGCTGTGAGGCCAAACTTCCCCTTTAAGGACCGAGCTTGTATGGGGGTTCCTTGTCCTAATCGAGTGGAAGCTGCCACCCCCCACTCTCCCCCCAGCCATCACATTTCTAATAATGAGCTGCTGGGCAATCTGCAGTTATCTCTGCCTTTTCTCTCCTTTGGGGGATTTATTGCTGGATGTATTGATGGCTCGCAGCCACTGACCCTGGAGGGCAGGAGATGAAATATTTAGCATTACTGTGGTACAATCAACGGCCAAATTCATGCTTTCCTATACATCTGTCACATAGTCTGTGTTGTCCCTCTGCTGACAGCAAAACACACAGTATTCTGTAGCACAGATGCAGGGTAAGATGAGATGGAATCACGCTATAGAGTTGAGTCTCAATTGGAAATATCCTCAGGTCAGCAGGGTGAAAGCTTCACGGGTTCATGCCTACCAGATCACAACTCAGAACTAGTTTGCCAAGGATCCCTTGAACAATTCCAGAGCGTGAGTCAACTTTTTTGGACAAGTTTTTGGGATGGGCCACCTAGATCTGATCTGAAATTAAGCAGGCTGTGGTGGCTTTGGATAAGGATCCCACAAGCTCATCCACAGAAGGTTGGAATATGGTACAGGCTTGTTCCCATTTCTTCTGTCCCAGAAAGGAGAGGTAGCAAAGAGGATCACTTCAACTGGATCACTGTCTCCACCAGGAGAGTTTGCAATGCAATAGGAAGAATTCCTAGGTGAACTCAGCAGGAGAAGACAGACACACTGGAATAGCAGGGGCCATCAGAAAAACCCTCCATCACTGCCAAGGACACTGAGAGACTTGGAGTGACAGCACCCTGCAGAGCCACGCTCAGCTGGAGATGTTTGGTTAGACAGATCCAATGCCCTTTCCAGCCACTGTCTCTGCTGAGAGGTTCTTGGCAAACGAGACCACCCTGCCACTCATCACCAGTAGCTCAGCCAACCCAACACCTCCCTGTCCACCGCTTTGGCAGAGGGCCCTCTGCAGCAGGAGGTCACTGGCAGTGATGGCTACAGAAAGGAAACTTGAAGATCAATAGCATCATTAAAAAGCCAGAAGAAAACAAAGCCAATGAACTAATCTCCCAGACCTGAGGACACCTGGATCCACTGCTCCTTACAAGGCCCTGGATAAGGCAGTACCGTTGAATAACAAAATGGTGAACTGAGGTCACTTCTTGGCCTGTTATTTAGAAGCCCAGGGTTGTGGATACAGACAAATTTGCTCAACATCCTAACCAGATAAGCCAAATGAGCAGTTTGGTTATTTATGGTCATTTGGCACAGTTGAGTTGACCCACAGGGGACAAACGCTCAACTTCAGGATCAACTTTTTTCCCACAGTGAGCATCCAAACCATAAGGTCCTCTTGAAATCTAACTTGGATTGGACCCCATGATGCTTACAGGACACGTTTCCTCTCTAAGGGCAACGGAGATCATGACAAGTCTGAAAGAGGAGAGGTTCAGGTCGGTGGTGGAAAGTTTGTGGCACTGAGACAAGTGTCTGAGCTGGGCTTTGAATCAGAACCAAACCCCCTTAAGCAATGGAAATAAGAAGGCAATGATTGAAGAGATCTGACCAGTCTCTACCACTCTTCTCTTCCCTTGTCATTCAAAAACTGCTTTTTTGGTTAAACAAAAGTCTCCCCCAGCAAGTCCCCCAGAGACCTCGCTGGAGCTGCCCGCGTGACTCATTGGCTCACCCGCCCCAGCCAAAGCCTGAGACAGCATTTTGCACCTCTGCCATGTGTTATCACAGACGTTGAGAGAAGATGGGTGGGGGGGAAAGCAGGGCTGGGACAATGGGAAAGACCAGCAGGTACTTACGTGTTGTGAAGAACGCACCATCCACAGTGAGGGTCGCCTGAGCCCAAGCACTCGCTGCAGGTCTCATACTGGCTACACGACTCCACGGGCACCCGAGTGAGCTGCAGGAGGAAAGGGGACAACCTGTCAGGCTTTTCACAGGGCTCTGCAACGCCCATAAGGACTTGACGGAGGTGCCACCTTCCGTGTCCTGTTCCCCTGCTGCCTGTCCTCCCAAAGGGACATCCCTGCAGAGCTTGGCAGGCCTGGGGCAGAGGGATGTGTCTGCAAATTGCTCCAGAGTTCAATCTGGTGCAACCCCTGTCCAGATGAGCACTCAACTTGGTGCAAACACTTTTGAGATCAGCACCTTCCCTGTGGCCTTCTCCTCTTCCCCATGGCCTTTCACACTTTGATTGCCAGATGACCTCAGCTGCACAGCTTCACAGGGAACCAGCAAATCAGGCAGGCTGTCTGCATACTGTGGTGACCTGGCACCTTGAGGTTATTAAATACCTTCTGCAATGAATTAAACTCAGCAGATCTCAATGCTCTCCTACACTCTGGTTGTGGACCTTGTTGCTTTCTGGCTTCCTGTGAGAACTGAAGTCTCAAGATGTCTTTGTCTCCCTCCCATGACCTCCCAAACCACCACCAGTCCTAGAAGAGCATTATCTTCACTCCCCATTGCCCATGCATCTTTCCAACCATCAGTTGTCCCACCCCTGGAGGGGTTGCTCACAGGAGGGAAAGGACAAAAGCCACCATGAATGAGCTTGCTGTCACCCTGACTTTGCAGCTCAGAAGGCATTAGAGGTGGACCTGAAACACCCATCTACTGCCCAAAAACTACATTTTATTATCTTTTTTCTTCTTTCTTTCTTCCTTTTTAATTAAAGCCAGTTGGAGCTTTCAAAGACAGAAGGGCCTGACGTCCCATCTAACAGACCAGAGCCTTTTGATTCCATTTAGCTTTTGTAGGCCCCTCACTTCTTTGGAAGCCAAACACACAATTTGGGCCCAATGACCTGATAGTCTCTTTTTCCATTGAATAAGCTTCAGAGAGCGTCTATAATATACAGTCAACTGTCAGTGCCTTCACCCCAGCTCATGTCAGCAGGGAGAGTTTATTCCTTCAGATGATATAGTGAGGTATTATCCTGATGAAACACCACTGAGAACTGCCAACGATAAACTGCGGAACAGTTACTTGTGACAAATGACAAAGGAATGCACCTGGATCCTAGGGACCATTTTTTACTTGGTGCAACATTCAAGAGAGTTTGAGCTGTGAAGTGATAGATTAAGATTCATTCTGATTGCATCTGAGTTTGAGCTGTGAAGTGATAGATTAAGATTCATTCTGATTGCATCTGTAAATGAACCAAGACCTGGCTTTTATATATATAAATATATATCAGGAAAAATTCCAGCTATTTATGAAGACCTTTTCTGTTTGCATTGGAAATTGTCTTCCTAACCCCTACACAGACACCACACGTGGTAGTAGATAGTCTATGTGCAAAAGCTGAAAATCTGTATTTTTACTTCTGGCAGCTGGCAGTAGCATTAGAAAACTGCGGACAGAAGAAATACGATGGGGTTTATTTACCGTTGCACTGTTGCCTGTGCCAAGTCACCCAAAGAAACCAACTGTGGCTACTGAAAACGTTTAATGAAAAAGGGAGAACACAAAACAAACAAATAAACAAACACAAAACCACCTTTCTCAAATTGAATCTACTGCCATGAGCATAGAAACATAATCAAGACAGACCGCAGAGCAACGAAAACAAGAAGATCAAAACAGGGAGGGAGTCATTCAAAATTCTGGAAGCATCAGGAAGTTTCAAAGGTCAGATGTCTTGGCCAAAAATGCAGTTGTTCCACCTTCCTTAAGCTTCAGGCCAAGAAGGTATCAACTTTTCAATAAATATAAATTGTATGCTCCAAGATTTAACCCAATTAGACTGATGTTGAACCTAAGAGTCTGTGTTCTATCCAACTTGCAAAAAGTCATACAGTTTTTTACAAGAAGACATCAAGGGGTGGAGATCTTATCATTTAGGTTGGCCATTCCTACCTGTTATTTCCACCTGAACAAAATATATTGTGAATTATTTTTCCTTGATCGCATCTAGCTTGACCATGTCTGCATGGTGAACATCAGAAGAGGCAGATAATTCAGTTTTGAAAGAGTGTAAATCTGCCCTTCCTCAACCCAGAAGCAATCGTCTGTGTAATCTCCACCTTGTAATTAGAAATTTGTGAAAACAGACGGGATTAGCAATGTGGTTCCTACCCAAACTACCCTCAGTTTAACATATGGTGCAGCTCGATTTAAACTCATTAGCTGCAGATAGTTTTTCAGAACCTCGGGTTCTGAGCTAGTTTACATCTGTCTTATCGAAGTGAGCCTTGCTTAAGAAGCTCAGATCAGAATATGTACTTTTTCAACATGCAGTGATGTTGGGTTAGAATGTTCCGAGTCAAAATCCACTTGTGACTATGATATATGTCCAAGAAAGAAGTCCTAGAGGACTGAAATTTGTTATTTCTCTGCCAATCGCTACAAAAAGAGTAGATAAAAAGTGGTATATGTAGGTTTTGGTGTTATTATTTGGAGAACAACTCTTATGAGGAGTGGCTGAAGGAACTGGGATTTTCAGCCTGGAGAAAAGGAGGCTGAGGGGAGACCTTCTCTCTCCAACTCCCTGAAAGAAGAGTGTAGCCAGGGGGGGTCAGCCTCTTCTCCCAAGGAACAGGCGATACGACAAGAGAAAACAGCCTCAACTTGTTCCAGGGGAGGTTCAGATTGGATATTAACCTCAACTTGTTCCAGGGAAGGTTCAGATTGGATATTAGGAAAATTTTTTACACTGACAGGGTTATTAAGCCTTGGAATGGGTTGCCCAGGGAAGTGGTGGAGTTGCCATCCTGGAGGTATTTAAAAGATGGGCAGATGTGGTGATGAGCGACATGGTTTAGTGGTGGTTTTGTTAGTGTTAGGTTGATGGTTGGACCCAATGATCTGAAAGGTTCCTTCCAACCTAGACAACTCTATGATTCTACTATTAATAATTATTATTACTATTACTATTATTTAACTAGCTGTAAAAGGATATCCAAGCTCTCAGAGGCAGAAAGAACCTACTGAGAATCCAGATCCTCATCTTTACAGACATGCTTCCTTCTCATTGTCTTTAGGGTACTTAGTCTCTGTAGTATAAAGTTCATATGTTGTGTAGGAGCACACCTTGCTTGTGTCCCTGTCCCAGAGAGCACAGCTATGCAGTATGAGCTTGCACGAAGCCACATGCCACATGAGTGTCACCATTCACATCGCTACATGTTACTCCTGCTATAGGAGACCTTTTACGAGTTCACCTCAAGTAGCTTTATTGCAAGATTAATTAAAATTGTACCACGCCGGTAAATGTCTTGGGCTGTAAGTGTCAGACCTTCTAATTAATAAAGAAAGAAACTACAAAAAACAAAGGAGCTGCGACTGAAAGGAAAGCCACCTAGGGGTCGTCAGCTGAAAAGAAAAAGAACATCAAGCAAATAAGGCACATCAGAGGTCTCATTTTCCTTTGGAACATAAGCTGTAATTAATTCAGCTCAGCTTTCCAAGTTGAAAGTTTTGAGAACTGACCGTGCCCCCTGAGAGCAGTCAGCTTTTTATGCTGCCCCTAAAATATCTCAAAAAGAAAAGTCCACGCAAACCTCCCAATTACCATGCCTTGCCATTATTCACAACGATGAAGGGACCAGACAGCTCCGAAGGTTGAAATCTCCATTGTAAACCAAACTGTGACTACTCCTTCCACCCTTTCTCCATCTTTGGAAAGTCTAACAAACTTTTTAAGGTCATTTCCCAAGCCTCGGTGGCCTTTCATTGGGGTAGAACTTGGAGTCAATATGTTGCAGCAAATACAACCAGGGTTTCAGCAGGAAGAGGATTAACAAAAGCAAAGTGTCCTTCAATTTGGGTCGCTACGAGCCAGGTTGGAGTCATTTATATTCCTACAGTGGTCACGGATTAACTGATATTTTGGCCTCTCTGTGCTAAAGCAATATATGGATGTAAGAAGAAGCTGCTGTTGTTTTAAGGGCTTATATCTCATATGTGATGAAGCACATATCTCCATTTCATCAATGAAATCTGAGGGTGAAAGTGAGGTCTCCTAAAGCTCAAGTGGGTGCTATCTAAGCATCTTTGAAGATGTGGGCTTGAGGCATCTGAGCAAGTTTATGCAAGAAGTCCATGGAAGAGCTGATCATTGAACACTAAGTTATTAAGTACAACATGTTTAGACTTTGGGTTTGTTGAATCACAGAATCATAGAATGGTTAGAGTTGGAAGGGACCTTTCGTTGAATCACAGAATCATAGAATAATTAGAGTTGGAAGGGACTTTAAAGATCATTCAGTTCCACCCCCCCCTGCCATGGGCAGGGACACCTCCCACCAGACCAGGTTGCTCCAAGCCCCATCCAGCCTGGCCTTGAACCCCTCCAGGGATGGGGCATCCACAGCTTCTCTGAGCAACCTGTTCCACTTGAAATACTGAAGGATAGGGGAGACCAAAGTGTCAGAACCCGTATTCCTGAAGCAGCTTTACCACCTAGACTGTCCCCTGCACATCCAGAGTGAGATGCAATCCCAGAGTTAGGGTCAGACGAGAGGTAAGAGAATCTGATGTCCTTCTCAAGGGCAGCAAGAAAAGGATGAGGCAGGTCCAGCTGCCGTAGCTGCAGCAGGATTTGAAGAGATATTTCACTTCATCAACACTTTCATTCACAGGTCCCCAAAGTAATCATTCATTGAGTTTCTGGCTCGCAAGGACATCTTGAAAAATCTGGCAAAATCTGTGAACTGCTGTACAGTTCAGAGCTCACCTGCTACATACGACTTCAGGGCTTTTCACACAGCACCAGGGCTGTCCTCACCTCTGCTCCAGCCTAAATTGCAAGCTGCAGCTTCTCCAGCTCCCAGCCTCGCTTTCCACCCTCTATTTCTACTATGAATGAGTTACAGAAAGTCATTTAAAACAAAATGATTGAGGTTTTTGGATCTGATAGACAGTAACAGCTAATCCTGTTAGAAATTTGGCTCCCGC